CGGCCGCGGCGCATATCCATGAAGAAAGTGATGCATCACTATACCAGGCAACGCTGCAGAATACAAGCATGCGTCATGTCTCTGATGTCTCGACAGCGGGCGGGCCTCCTAAAACCTGGTTTCGCATTGGAACGTCCGATCCAGAATGCCAGATCGAAAAGGCTAAAATTGGCTGCTACGCGCGCACGTACGTAGGTACTCACACACGTCAGGCTCTAAAACAACCCGACCCAGAAAATGATTTGAAAATGAAACGCCAAAAAGTGCCGTGTCATGATTCGCTCGCTGGGGCTTCTTGCTATGCATCTCACTGTTTAGATCGCCGCCACCTCGCGCATATGCTGTTCCATCCAATGTTGTGGCACCTCGCCCGCGGCCGCCGCCTCTGCGGGCCTACCCGAAACGGCATCCATGGCCGCGAGATCGTTCCTATTCACCTTGCCGAGCTTGGACTTGAGCTCTTCGGTAATGGGCGCGACGTCGAGGTCGAGCCAGTCACGCAGGAACTTGCCAACGTCCGTGTTCTCGACGTTCCCGCGGATCTTTTCCGTGTCGCGCCCACCCGAGCTGTAAATGTTGACATCGACGGCCGTATGTCCGTGCGTGCTCCAGCCCACGTGCGCACGCAGGCTGATGATGGCAGCGAAGGTTGTGATCGCGGCAAGGGGCGCCTCAACGAGAGTGTCGAGCTCTTCAGGGTGCACGTCTGTGATGCCGAGACCGCCGTAGATGAGCGTCTCGTTGACCCAGCTCCTGAGATTTCCCTTGTGCTCGCCCGGGTTCTCGGCAATGTGCTTGGCAAGCTGCAGGGACAGGAACTCGGACGAAGCATTGGCCTTGGCAAGGGCGCGGGGGAACCAGTTATAGACGGGAAGGTGTCCAGGCTCCTCTGTGAAGTTGTCAGTCACGGCATGCAGCATCAAAAAGCAAGACAGGAGCACATACGTAAAGCAGTACCGAGACCGCCTGTCTCGTGATCGCTCGTGGCCACCAGAATTGTTTCGGTTTCGCTCTTCTCGATAAAGTCAAGCACGGCCTGGAAGGCAGCATCGTACTGCAGAACCTCGTGGACCTGAGCCGCGGGATCGTTGATGTGTCCGGCGTGGTCAATCCTGCTGCCTTCAATCATGAGGAAGAAGCCGTGGTCGCTGTGCTCCGTCTCTTTCTCCAGCGCGCGGAGCGCAGTGTGGGTCATCTCGGTCAAGCTGGGGTAAATGTGGTCGAGGTTGCGGCGGTCAATCTCAAAGGGAACATTGTAGTGGGCAAACAAGCCAAGGGCCGGCAGCTGAACGTTCTCGCCAAGCTTGAGGGCGTCGAATCCCGCTCGGTCGCTCGCATACGTCCAGTTGTACTTCTCCTGTGCGATCTTGACAACATCGGTTTCGTCTAGGCGACAGCTGTCGGCGGTGCCGTTGGGCAGGAAATGGCAGCGGCCACCGCCAAGCATCAGGTCGACAACACGCCCGAGGGGGCCATCGCCAACCTCCTGCAGGGCAATGTCATCGTTCATGGCGCGGGTCAGAACATGGCTGGCGAAGCAGGCAGGCGTGGCGTCGGTGATGTCGGTGGTCACGACCAGCCCCGTCGCATAGCCGGCCCTCTTGGCAGCCTCGAGAACGGTGCCGCAGGGCTCGTACTCGGGCGTGATGGAGATGGCGCCGTTGTAGCTCTTCTTGCCGCACGAGAAGGCCGTGGCACCGGCGGCGCTGTCGGTGACGAGCGAGTTGGAGGAGCGCGTGCGGCTGGTGCCCCAAAAGTGCTTGTCAAGCGTCAGAGTGTCATCCTCGGAAAGACCCTCGACGTGCTGACGGAAGCTTCGCGTCAGGGACAAGGAAGCAGGGCCCATGCCGTCGGAGACCATGAAGATGAGGTTTCGCTTTTCCGGCGTCGGACCAGTTCCATGTCCCGTCTGGCGGTTATGCTGGCTCCACACCGCGAGGACGATCACGGCAGCAGTCGCTAACAGGGCCCAGACGAAGAGGAGAACCTCACGCAGTCGGTTCGATCCGCCTGATGAAGGGGAGTGGCCGTTATCAGAGTTGGACTCGGAGTCATCGTTGATGTTCTCACGACGTTCCGTGTCGTCGAGGAGGGGAGTTCGGTCGTTTGGTGCTGCTTGAGCGGCCTAGGAATGAGCGTGTCAGTTTCGCAGACATCAACAGGTGGGATTTGGCTGACATACCATCTTGTGTTGTGCAGTGCAATCCGGATGCACAGCTTGACGATGGGTGTTGGAGGAAGCAACAAGTCCTGGTGAAGCTTCCGAAGCTAAAGCCTCCAGATAAGGGTCACGCAGTGCTACCTCCGCCAGCGTCAGCAGGTCCCTGGAATTGGGGGGGGGGGGCGCCTGGGGCGCTTTGGGAGGGTTCACTGGCACGAGCTTGCCCTGGCCTGCGGCTGTGTGACACGCCAACGACGTCACCCCCTAGGGTACGTGCCTGGCCCTCACCTTATCAGAGCACATGCTCGGCGGGGGTGCAGACTTTGGGGGTTCTGCAGGGGTCTGCGTCTGTTCATTGTACTTGAGGTCCTCAGGCAAGTCAGGTACCTCAACTCAAGTACCTTATTTCCTTGATGCCAATTGACCCTTCGAGCAGGTCAGCTGGATCAGTTTTTGCGTAGTCGGCAACATCGGCTCGTGTCATGGCGACATGGCTCAATCTATCACGTGCGACAGGGATGCGAAGACTGTTGCTGTCGTGCAGCAAGCAAGCCAAGTCGAGCGAATCTGAACATGGGTGAGATCGATTCACAGCATTTGTCACAATGTCACCTTGGCACCTGCCGGCCAGAACCTCGTCACAGTGGTCTTATCCCAACCACAAACGTTCCTGTCTGTCATGGAAGAAGGCAGATTGCTCACTTTATCCCTCTTGCACCTCGCATGGCCATCTTTGCGCGAGCATGCCTCACCTCCAAAAGCGGAATTCCCTGCGGAGAAAAATACAGACATCCACCTTGCCAATGCCGAGAAGCCAGCGTCCTGTCAAATTGGAGTTCGGCAGCTGTGAACTGCCAAGAATTTTATGTCCGCGATCAAACCTTGGAATCCACCGACGGACGAGGTTACGTGCTCTCTGAGCCACCACCACAGCGAGGTCCCTCACCATTCTGGCAAGGCTGCCCTGCCCTTGCGTTGAACTTCTTTCCATTCCGACAGCCGTATCCCGAACAAGATTATCCAGGTTGCTTCGGCTGGTGACGCCCTTGCGAATAAGGCTAACCTCGAATCTCCCCTTGGCCGGCAACGTGTCACAGCTAGATGCCGCTGTCATGTTGTGCTTCACCATGCCTCGAGCGATACCCGAAAGCGCTTAGATTTGGCCGCTAGCTCTCTACCCCAGTCTTTACATTATCAATCAGCGCAGACGTTCACCACAGAGTAGTTAGCATCAGGCCCAGTGTGCTGACGAACTTTGTCTTCAACCGCGCGGTACCCTAATCGGGCATAACGTAAAGCTGCGGAACGGCCTCGGAAACCTCCAAACTACAACACAATTCTCGGGATCGCTCAAATTGAATCGACAGGGGCAAACACTACCAAGGTTCACACTCAGTGCAATGCGGATGCTCGGGGATATTGCTGTGAGACTGGACGCCAACAGGATGCCAGCATCGAGGGAGCTTTATAAACCAGAGACGTCCATGAGGAGGCTTGATCGTCTGAAGATCTGAAGCTCTCTCTCTCATGCAGCTTCTCGGACTCCGTCTGATATCGAGTCAAAATTTCCCCTTCTGTCATATCCATCATGGTTGCTCCAAGCTGTGGTCTGCCTATCCTGGCAGCAACCACCAATGTCTTTGCCTACGACAATCTGTTCGCCTTCGACAGTGTACCCGAAATCGAGAACAGGACCCTCGAAGAGATACACAAAGTTGCCCTTGCCGAAGGTGGAGTCGTCAACTGCTGGCATGGAGGCGATGAGCCAAACCAGCAAGGCTTTCTGAAGCAGATATTCGAAGAAAGATTCCCCGGCATGACGCTAAACATTACCGTTGATCTATCAAAGTACCACGACGGCCGACTGGACGAGCAGCTCGCCAATAGCAACGTCCATGTCGACAGCGTTATCCTCCAGACACTCCACGATTTTCCCCGCTGGGAAAACCAAGGCGCGCTTCTTAATTACGCTCCACTCGGCTTTGATGCAATTGACGGCGCATACAAGAACGCCGCAACCGCGGCATACTACGGTGTCTACCATCTTGCCTGGCAGTTGTTTTGGAGCCCCTCCAAGCTGCCCAACATTACGATCAGCGAATTCGACGACTTTCTGAGACCCGAACTGAAGAACAAGATCGTGCTGACCTATCCCAACGACGACGACGCTGTCTTGTTTGCCTTTGACCTCATGTAAGTCGCACCACTACCCTGGCTTCATACTCTCCAAGTCAAGTGGAAAACGCGCGAAGTCTGACATTGAAATCACAGCCTACAAAGGCACGGCATAGAGTGGCTGGATGCCCTTCTCGCACAGAACCCCCGCTGGGTCCGCGGCACTGGGACCCCCGTTACCCTGACCCTGACCCCGAATTGCACTGAGGCGGCAACCTTCACGAGCTTCGCTGGCTTCGCCGCCGTTCCAGGCTCCAACTACTCGCTTCCCACCCAGACCCAGTTTGTGTCGTGGCCGCAGACCGCCGCCATCCTCAAGGACGCGCCCCACCCCGAGAGTGCCAAGCTGCTGCACTCCTTTGTGCTATCGCCCGAGTTCCAGCAGATGATGGGCTGGCCTGTTCGCCATGATGTGCCAGTGGCGGAAAACTTCTCGCAGCTACCGCTAAAGGATATCCCGTCGACAAACCCTGCGGCTTTTGGTCGCTTCATGGCGGATCGCGGGAGGGTTGAGAGGCTGCGCTTCTTCCTTGAGGATCGTATCGGATCTGCTCAGGGTCTGAGCCCGCTCGTTGACGGCCTCTGAACTTGTTGTTAATAGGGTCGAGGGTAGTCGTGTAACTACAAGGTGTAGGTAAGGTGGGGACTGTTGTCGGAGTTGCTCGACGTAGTAGTTATTTCCAAGGTGTCAATCAAGCAGCGTTCGAGATGATGTATGAAAACCTCAGTGAGTAGCTTGAAACGCCAGAGAACCTTGCATGAAGTAATGCAAGCAATATCAATCCAGTTCTTCACCCATGTAGCTTGCGGTCACGAAAGAAACTCCCTCTTTGCTGCCCTTCTCGGTCTCGTCAACAGAATGAATTGGACATGTCACCCCTGAACGGCTTCGCAAACTGCCTAGAGTCTATAGATGTACCAAGGAAAAACTATAGCAGGAATACTTAATAGACAGGAAGGCATCAAACATGCGGGTGTAGTTCCGGTGGGGTTCAATAGTGTTCTCCTTACACTTTCTGGGACAGATGTTTCTAAATGCCAAAAGGGCTCGACAGTCCGTTGCACGTTCCCCATTCGGGTGTGGAGTGTTTGTTATGTCGTTCATATAGCCCTGTAATCCTTCGACGTCAGACACACCGAGGCACCGGGACACGGCATGTTGCCAAGATGGCCAAGGCAGCCAGGCCGCAATAGAGGCTCCTGGACCGAACGGGCCCAGGGCCCTACATGAAGTTGCCTCTGTTTATCGCTAACCCCTTGAATTCTGAACTTTGACAGCAACACAGCCACACATAACGATCGCGACCACCACCACCATCCGTCCCGCTTCCCACTCCATGTGGTCCCTCCTGGGCGCGGCTGTCTACCCTGGGGCCATTGCCAATGCCGCTGACTTGCTGGACATCGGCCTGGTCTACCCACGCGCAAACGAGACGTATGAGCCAACGGATGAGTTTCCACTTGTCTTTGCGCTCCAGAATGTCAAGCAAGCCGAATATCTTGAGCCCACCATCTCGCTTCGTGTCCTCAACTTGTCAAAATCAACCTCGGACATTGAAGTCCTCAGCGATCGGATGCACGAACTCCGCTGGGGCAGCGTCTCGGAAAACGAGCCCTATCTTTTCTGGAGCCATTTCAAGGTCAGCGGTGAGGGCCAGGTCCGCGTGATCTGGCAAGCGTTCTGGTCCGCGTGCGAGGAGATTAGCAGCTACAACAAGCGTGTGCGAAATCGCACTGACAACTTTTTGGTTGATATCGAAGTCAAAAATGGTGGGCAAAAGGCCGACCTCGTTGCTGGTACGGCTGGTGATAGCAATGACTGTCCTAATCAAGGGGTTGCGATCAACGTGACTACCGATGCACGTGAATATTCTGGCTGGACCAATGGACGCCAAGAGTCAGGAACTTGCGCAGTGCTGGCATCACCATCGCCAACATCGACTTCGAATACCTGCCGCGTCAAGATTGAAAGTTCCGTAGTAGAAAGTATGGAGGCTGTGGATCTTGCGAAGAGGTGCCGAGGCTTGAATTCTCCTGCCGAGTGCCCGGAGAAGGACGAGGCGGTCACGAAACTGGCTGCTATGAGTGTCCCCATTTTGGCAGCTCTTCTTGGTACCGCTCTCTTTCTTGCTTGAAGTAAGATCTTCATCGCCTTCGACTCGCCCACCGTTACCGCTTCGGCTGTGATAAACCTCCTTGGTTGATGGGAGACCTTCGAAGGTCGCTCAGGTACCGAATTTGTAATTTAGTTAAGGTTAAGAATAATACGGCTAATCAGTTTCCACATTGAATATAAAAATTCAGCTACTTGCAATCATTGCTGCGTTTGTTCGAATCCTCAGTGTCTGATATCTATCAACAGAACCATTAAACGACCCTAACCCCTGCTGGGGATCATATGGCCATGTGAGTGCTTTCCCCGCGAAAATAATGGGTTCATTCTCTGCTAATCTTCACAAATCTAGGGCGATTTGTTCAAGCATCTCGCCAAGGTAGATAGCTATGAATTATGCTGTAAATTAGTATCATCCGGCCCGTAACGCGGAAGCATAGACTTCAGCGTTGTCATGAGTCGATAAATGCTTGGATTGACCCTACGCCCTCGGTTCATTTAACTCCAAGTATCTTCATCTTCCAAGCTCTATCAGAGAAAAGACCAGCTTATGTTAAGCAGGACATATTAGGGCTTTAGTCCTGACATAGTCACAACGTATGCTATGGTGTCAGGGTTGGCACAACAAAGAAAAGACGAACCTGAATAAAAGAACCATCGTTCGACATTGCCACCCTCCTCTCCCATATCGATCTCCAATGACTTTCACATTTTGACATGATTGATAGGGCGAAATTCCTCCATGGAGTGATGCCCTTGAATGATGCGTCGCAGTTGACATGGTAGTTCATCTAGCCCTCGGTCATCGGAGCTTTTCGGGCACCTTACAAAGTGTTGGGCTGTTCTTATCCTCGCCATCACGGCACATATTTTTATTAACGCAAAAAGAATCGACCTGACTCCTAGAAGCCTAGCCTCATACTGCTGGACAGATCCCGAGAATCCGAGTTCCAAGTTATGCCAAGCACGGCTGCTGGCACCGATGTGGGTTATGGCGCATGTAGAAACACGCGATTCAGCACTTCGCTTCAAAAGGCCGCGACGCGGTGCTTCGCATGTGCCAGTCCGCGAGTTCAAGTACTGAAAAATAGCCACGGGAAGATGTGGTAGCTGACGACGCTCTTTGCCGAGTTCCGGCCTGGGCTGCCGTGAAAGCGGAGCTCCGTGTCCCGCAACTCCGGCTCGGGTCCATGCATTCTGCATATAGAAGCTTATCAGATTCAACTTCTCGAAAAATCTAATCAGATCGATCGTCTTACCTTTTTTCAGTTCTCTCACACTCTAGCCACTACTCTTCCAGAGAATGGAAGAAGCGAAGGGTATGCCAAACGCCAGTGTCACGACGGTGCCCCTGAGTCAGGGGCTTGAGCGTGGACCTGAACAGGCTAAGCGCCCCTCTGGTCAGCCCTTTCACTGCACAATTCAGCCCTAGAGCGGCACTGACATTTCCCAGATGAAAGCAGTGCTCCCAGTGAAGACGTGTTGTTCGCTGCAGGTATCGGCCTCGAGAAGGATGACCCAACGCTTCCTTGCCTGACCATTCGCATGTGGGTCATCGGGATCGCCTTTTGCCTTCTCGGGAGCGGTCTGAACACTCTGTACACTTTCCGTTTTCCCTCGATTTCTCTCTCACAATCGGCAATTCAGTTTTTGGCGTTTCCTGTAGGAAAAGCCTGGGAGTATTCTATTCCAGACTGGGGTATCAGTGCTTTTGGGCACCACGTATCTCTTAATCCTGGACCTTTCAATTACAAGGTATGTCAGCATCCGGGCAATTACAGGCAGCATTGCTAATGGGTTCAAGGAAAACATTCTCATTTATATACTTGCAAATCTCAGCTTCCTCACTCGATTGAGCGCAGACGTCCTCACCGAGCAGCGTGTTTTCTATGGCCTCAAAGCAGGATGGGGCTTCGAGCTGACCATGACGCTTGCCACCATTCTTTTCGGCTTCAGTCTAGCCGGCATATTTCGTTCACTCGTCGTAGAGCCAGCTAGCCTTGCGTGGCCCGGAGTTCTTGGTAATACTGCCCTGAACCATACCCTCCACTCCAGAAAGAACGCAGTGGACCTACAGTACGTCGCCGCAATCTACGACTCCATATCAACACTGACCGGATGATATTCAAAGCACCGGATTCAAGATGTCTCGCTATCGATTTTTCATGATTGCTTTTTGCGTATCCTTTTGCTGGTACTGGTTTCCAGACTTCATCTTTCCAGCTCTAGGCTACTTCACTTTCGTCTGCTGGGCTGCACCGAACAACGCTGTAGTCAACCAAATCTTTGGCATGAAGAGTGGACTAGGCATATTGCCTGTCACCTTTGACTGTAAGTCCTTTCCCTTAATCTTTCAACCGGACCAGTATTGAGTGTGTTGCAGGGAGTCAAATTGCTTACATTGGTTCTCCTTTGGTTGTGCCGACCTGGGCGATTCTCAATGTCCTGGCATCGCTCATCTTCTGGATCTACGTCGTTTCGCCTGCAATATACTACCGCAACACGTGGTCTTCTGCCTACCTCCCCATCCAGAGTAACTCTGTGTACGACAACACCGGCGCTGTCTACAATGTCTCTCGTGTTATCGACAAGAAGCTCGGCTTCAGCTTCAACAGTACCAAGTTTGATGAGTATTCAGAGGTCGGTCAAGCCGCCAGCTCCTGCGTCGAAGTGCATTGGATTAAAAAAAATCAGATCTACCTACCTGTCACTTACGCGCTCAACACCTTCGGACTCTCGTTTGCTACAATATCATCACTGTTCATTTGGCTGTATTTGGAGCGACGCCACAACATCATCGCCACCTTCCAGGCGTCGTCATTGTCGTCCCTATTCAAGCGCGGCCCGAGACCGAGCTTGAACCTCCAGCCGGCTTACAAGACTGTTCCCGCATGGTGGTATGTAGTGTCGTTGCTGTTATCTCTTGGTCTGGGTTTGTTCTCCTGCGAGTACTATCCCGTACAGTTAAGGTGGCATGGTGTCTTGCTTGCCCTGATCATATGCGCGGTCTTCTTCGTCCCAGTAAGTTCACTGCGGAAAACTGAAAAGTTGCATTGAGATCGCACTGACATGCCAAGCTTGCTCTGGTATATGCCACAGCCAATGTCAAAATCCAGATCGATATCTTCTGTCGTATCGTTGCCGGCTATGTCTACGAAGGCAAAGTGCTCGCTAACATATGGTTCTTCAATCTGGGATACATATCGGGCATCAAGGGTCTCGCCTTCGCTCAGGACCTCAAGCTCGGGATCTACTGCAATATTCCGCCGCGCAAGCTCTTTCTTGTTCAAGCTGTCGGCATCGTCATGGGCACTCTTGGCCAGGTCTCAACATTGAACTGGGCTCTAGAACACATCCCTCACATTTGCACCGATGCAGCCCCCAACGGCTTCACGTGTCCGTTTTCACGCACACACTTCAACACTAGTATGGTCTGGGGAGCCCTCGGTCCGCGTCGGTTCTTCGCACCAGGGGCCCACTACAGGCAATTACTATGGATGTTTCTCCTGGGTGCTCTGCTGCCCATTGCTTTGTGGGCACTCAAGAAGTATCTGTTTCCTCGCACGCGCTGGCTACGGAAGATTCATGTCCCAGTGTTCCTGGGTGGACTGAATTACATCCCGCCAGCTTCAGGTACCAATTACGGGAGCTGGGCCATCGTCGGGCTGGTGTTTGGGCTTTGGCTCAAGAGGAAAGAGAGAGACTGGTGGAGGCGATACAACTTCGTGTTGAGCTCGGCACTGGACTGCTCAGTCGCCATCGCTGGAGTGATAATCTTCTTCGCCGTCTTTTACACTGGCGCAGCAAATAACTTTGAGTGGTGGGGAACAGACGTGTACAAGGTATTTATACATCACCCATTCCAAAGAGGAGATCTAAGTTTTCTGATGCATTGCAGGACACTTGCGACTGGAAAGGATGTAGATACAAGACGATACACAAGGGTGGCACTTTTGGAATATGATTACAGACAACACTGCATTGTCCCACATACGACCATACCTACTGGAGAACTCGGGATCCCGTCCGCTCTCCCATAGATAAGCCAGTAAGGGTCGGACTAGTAGTTGGGTGGGTGACCACCAGCGAATCCCTGATGTTGTATGTTTTGTATTTTTGACCTTTTCACATTTTTAGTAATGGATGTGATCGTCATGGTGGTGAGGGTCGTTAACAATGAACGAATCGAAGTGGTCTGGGCATTTGGAACACAGATCTTGCCGCTGGACGTTGCTTTCATGTGGTTGGTGTGGGTTTCGTCCGTCCCCAAAACACAACCACTGATATCTGTGTTCTTAAGGTCTGGACAACTCTTGTTTTGGTCTCCCTTGACTGGTATAAGCGATGTCCTTCTCCGTCACTGCCGACCAGCTCAAAACAGAGTCAGCAATTCGCGCAGTCCGGCTCAAAGCTGTTGCACTCATTGAGTAGCCAGACATGATCACAATCGGGGGTGGCTGCACGCCGAATAACAGTGCGGAGGGGTATTAGAGGGCCTGGGCTTTTGTCTGGCTAGCTCATTCAGGCGAAGCTCACTGATGGCTGACGTGCCGTGTTACTTGTGTCTAGGCAGACACAAGCCCACTAGAACCATCACCAGGCCTATACTGGTGGAAACGAGAACTCAAGGCATGCAGCGCGGATAATATCTTGCATGCTAATAATGTTTTCGAAAGATGCAATAGGTTGACTTTATTTTAAGTTCGGTCTCACTCCTTGCCCAAACTAAGATTTTTACCACTGCCCTCTAGCTGCACATACGTGCCTTACTTTGCATCAACTTCAAAGGCCCTTTTGATGTACTGTAGCTGAGGGAGGCCTACTGATGGCAGGAATTATAACTGTTGGCTCAGGTCGCCACGTGGAAAACTGCTACACCCGTTTGACTTTCGTTTTATTACTTCCACTTCTCCGTATCGCCAGATTTCACTCCGCAATGCCCAAAATAGCGATGAAACCGCCGGCATTGATGCCAGAGAAGAATTTAAGCAATGTCCTCTTCTAGAAGAGCATCATAGCCCTCGATCAGACACCACTGTTTGGCGAGGCCCTCGGTCTCATCCTCACGAGCAACCTCCTCCAACTTGACTTCCTCTAGTCCGGTGACAGCCAAAAGCCTCATATAGACTGGGAGAATATTAATCAGGCGAATTCTCCTCCTACCAGCTGCTTGCTTCGTGTCGTCCTCAGTCTTGACGAGATCCTCGGCCAAGGGGCTAACAACCTTAACCCAATGACGAGAAGCGATGCGACACCTTTCTTCGAGCGTCATCGTATCAAGTTCATCGTCACTAGGAACATCTGAGAGGTGATTCAGAGTTTCTTCGTCCAGAAAGATGAAGAATTTACTGCGCAGGTTTGGATGATTCTCGCGCGCCATAGCTCCAGACTCGCGATAGAATAGGCGTGCCTGTTTGACATCACCTCCACCGAGCAAAGTCTGGTCTTCGACCACGATGTTGTGAAACCGGTACCTGAACTCTTCGCTCAGTATCTGATCCGTCTTCAGATATCTGGGCGGGCCCCGCTGCCGGATCTCACGGGCGGCTTCTCGCCAGTGAGTCTCGAGGGTCTGCTGATCCACTTCGTTTTCGCAAACCAGCCTTCGTCGAGGTACAGGCACATTCTCATCACGAGAATCCAGGTGTGGCGCTTCATCGTCATAGTCTACCGAAACGAGTGTCAGCCGGCGGATGGCCGCGACGGCCCGTTTGAACCGCGCATCGTTGCCCTCTCTGTACGTGGCTCGCACGATGGTCGAGCCCCAGCAGTTTTGTGGCTTGCAGTCGGCACAGTAGACAAAATTGTCATTCATTGTTGCAAAATATTGCCGAATCCTTCGGTCTGGCTTCAAGGGGCCTGTTCTCTCCCAATGCGGCTGCAGCAGATGGCGAAAGACAGCAAAGGACGACTCGGGAGCAGGCGGTCTGGTCAGCGCGGCCTCAGCCTTTTTCCTAGCGCGGTTCTCTCTCCAGATGCGAAGATCCTCAAGAAAAGCTGGCGTTTCAGGCCTGTACGGGGTTTGCGGCATAGTTTTCCTCTCTTTGTAGCCGTATATCTCAGTGAGCCAGCCGTGAATCATGGGCGGCGTCTCGCATGATATGCCCGAGACGAAGCACCAAGCCTTCGTCTCGTCCTGAGGGTTCGCATACCGTGTGCAGTCGGCTCCTTCATTGGGAATCTCGTCGAACGAGTAGTCCTTCGAAGCCAGATAAAGCGAGAGGAGACAGAGGAGACGGATGCGTCTCTTTCGGCTCCTGCGTCCCTGGCTGTCCTCGACTTCCAAGAACGCCTCCCTGTCCAAATCACCGCTCTCATCGTCCTCAATTTCCGGGGCCATCGGCTCCACAATCTTGACCCAGTAGTTCCATGCAATGCGGCAGCGCTCATCGATGGTCATCCTAGCGAGTGCCTGATCGTCGGGAGCGCCGGCTAAGTGGTCAATCGTCTCATCGTCGAGGTACATGAAGAAAGCCGAGCGAGCGCACGACTCGCGCTCCTCCCAGCCTTTGGCCTGAAAGTACTCCTCAGCCTTTTCGGGTTCTGCATGATCGAGCAGGTCCTTGTCCTGGATGACCGTGGTATGGAACCGGTACTTGAATTCCTCGCTGACGATCTGGTCCGTTGTGAGTGCCTCTGTCGGGTCAGACTGCCGGGCTTGCACGTCGTTGACAAGCTGCAACCAATTCATTTCATTGGTTCTGTCAGCCAACACGCGACCTTCATCAAGCTCCTCCTCAGGCTCTGCTGCGAGTTTCGCCCGCTTGACGCAAGGTGAAGCCTCTTCACCTCGAGGTAGGGACTCGTCATAGTCGACAGTGACGAGCGCCAGACGACGGATAGCGGCCACGGCGCGCTCGAATTTCTCGTCATCTTGGTACGAGGCGCGCACGACCGTCGAGCCCCAGCAGTTCTGCGGCGCGCATCCAGAGCAGTAACAAGCGCGGTCGCCCAGGGTGCGACAGACGCTGTAGATTTGACGGCCGGGGTTTCCGGGGCCGGGGCCTCTCCAGTGAGCAGCGGGCGCGTGGTGCAAGGCGAGAAAAGATGAGCCGTATTTGAGAGGCAAGCGGTACCGTAGCGTACCACGCAACGGCTGCCCATACAAGTCGCGCGGTATGTCGACCTGCTCACTCGAGTTTTCAAATTCGGTGGGATACATATTGTGGCGGAATGCTTCTCTCTGAGTCATGGTCTCGTCGGGCAATGGAAGCCTGAGCAGTGCCTGTGTGGTGGTGCTATGTTCGGGTTTGAGAAAGGTGGCAGATGACGAGCGGCTGCCTGCCCCCGCGCTACTTGAAATCAAAACCAAGAACCAAAATGATAACAGTCTCGTGTGGCCGAGGCATATCCTCAAGGGCTTGGATTGGTCACCGTGCTGGTTCTGCCAAGCAAGCTTGGCGGAATCGCTTGCCTCTTGCGAGTAACAAGCAGGGGGTAAATCGAATAATCATGTTCATCCGCTGCGGTAAACTCTCTATACACTGTATACACTGGAGGTCAGCCAGGCGCACCGGAATGGTATCTGGTACTTGGCTAGTGCTTGGTGCGCTACGGTGTACGTGGCCGATTTTCGTTTCATGGGAAAGTGTTACTTGAGCAATGTCCTCCTGTGCGGCTTTGACACAACCACGATCGGTGATGGTGCCTAAAGACTGGCAATTCTGGGCAATTACCTGTTCACACGACTATGAGTGTAAAACCAGTGCGCTGGAAATGCAGAATGGCTTGAATTGGATACCATATCAACGTATATTTGCTTGTTGGGGGCTCTTCCTACGGTGGATGTTTTGTGACACACCGCCCAGGAGCAGCGCGATCAGTCGGAGATTGATCATAGTTCTTCAGTCACCGGGAATGCTTGGCTCGACTGTTCCTCTGACAGCGGCCGTTTTCCTGATGTAACAAAAACAGGCCCGCTGCGTGCCAGGACATGTTCGTTCTCGTTAACGGCCTCGGCAACGATCCTGTAGTCTTCCCCTGAAGAGGACGTCTTCACCTTGATGTGCGTCTCGAATCCGTGACGGTTGGAGTCTCCCAAGAAGCGCTTACGCGTAACGTCTCCCTTGAGCTCCTCTGCATAAAAGCGCCAAAGTGTAGTCTGAGTGTCACCATTCCAGGAAACATAGATATCCACGTCGTCGGAAGCCTCGCTTCCCAGGGCTACAACTGCTGGTTCTTCGATAGGCCTCCCGGTCCAAGGAAGCTTGTAACCACGGTAGCTTTGCACGCTGTTACCCCCGGGCTCTGAATCGAGGTACGCATGGAACAGAACGGTCCCATCAGCAGCAAACTCTGTGATAGCACCTGCCTGCCCCCAGTTGACGAAAACGTTGCTGTTGGGCAAGACTTGCGTGTTGCCCTGCGTCTGAGCCGAAAGTTGGTCTGGTGCCGGATACGTAGCTGCTGCCTTGACAGTCCCTTCTGTGTGGTTGAGCTGCAGGATGCGGCCCCGTGAGAAGGGGTTGGTCTTGATTGTCGGTGAGTGGGCCGAGTTATCGAAGAGGGAAAGATATTCAATTGCCCCATCAGAGGATCGATTCAAGAATCTGGCGTCATGCTGATAGGCGAAGCGAGCGGCAGGGTCAACGTAGAAAGATGAGTTGCCGTGCAGGCCGCCAAGTTGCCAGATGACTTTGCCGGTAGCACCACTGACCTTGAAAAGAGCTGCATAGTTGCGTGCTGAGACGAGGTAGTTTCCTTCGTCGTCCTTGTCGACACTGTTGAGGTGGAAATAGTCCCAGGCATCGAATGAACTGCGACCACTTCCAATAGCCCTGTCCAAGTGGTCTAAAGGGAAGGCGCTGTCTTGAATCGATGTCAGTGGAAGATACTGGATTTGACAGCAGACTCATGTTACGAACACTTAGGGTCCACATGGTCGAGGGCTTCCCATTCAAAGAGCACCTGACCTGTCTCAATATCCAGCTCTGTGTTCTTCCAGTCAGCATATTATCATCCTCGTTCGAAGTGACAAGAGCCTGCCTTGGAATCCAGAAGACACGATCCAGTCTTGGCCCTCTTTCCCACCCCAGCGAGAAAGATTGAAAGGTTTGGTGAAAGGCACCTCCACCAAAGCAGATTTGCCATTGATGATACGGAATTCGTGTCCAGAAACCAGCTGAGGTGATCTGGACTGCACCGATTTGACGGTCTCATACTTTTCGTTCAGAATGAGGTGATGGCCATGCATGATGCCAAGCTGGGCCGACATTTGCCCTTGAAACGCGCGAAGCACCGTGGACCCATCCACCGTGTCGGGACGAAAGTTCGCGGCCCAGCCGGCAATGTGTCCAATGCCTGACCACACGAGCTCCCCGTCGTCGCGAAAAATGTACGGTGCCGGTTGAATGGGGCCATGGCTGGTCGGCGGGAAGCCTGGATATGGCGCAACAAAGATGAGGCCCTTCTCGACAAGGGCAGGATCTGCTGAGACGGTGATGTTGAGACGAGGTGGGGTGAGGTCTGGTCGTGATCGAAACTGCCAATCCGCAGACACACTAGGCGTCAGGGCAGCTGTCACAACAAGGAAATCTCGGACTCTCATGGTTGGTCAACGTTATGCCTATTGACATACAGAGGAAAGCAGCATTCGTTCGTTCAAGCCTAAGATCTGATCCTATGTAGTACCGTTAGCTTTATAATAACTCAGTCGGTGGATGACGTCGAGATAAGATGCAATCACGCCATAAATGCCGATTCCGCGCAGAGGTCTTAGCCGCCGCCACGAGTACAGTTTGATTTACATCAACCCCTCGCGTCATGACGAGGCAAAACTTAGCTAGATTGCCTCTAATAGGAATTAATATATATAAAAAAAAACATACAACATCAGGGATTCGCTGGCGGTCACCCACCCAACTACTAGTGACGCCGAGGACGTCGAGTCCACGTCCAGCCTCTCATCCAAGGAGGAGAAAAGTGTGACACTTCCCGGGCTTCTCAATGTCATGGATGGCGTGGGCTCGTAAGAGGGCCCGGTTCTCTTCATGACCACCAACAACATCGGGCGCGGCGCTCATTGAACCGGGTCGTGTGGACAGATCGAATTTCGGCTTGCAGACAAAAGCCTGACCATAGAGCTCTATCGCCTCGTCTTCCGAGAGCCAGTCGACAAGGGCAATGAAGCTATTGAGCAACTTGCAGACGAATTTTCTGGACGAATGGCGGAAGGGGACTTCAGCCCGGCAGAGGTTCCTTCGCTCTTGTTAGAACGCAGGCAGAACCCCGAGGCTGCCGTGGCCAATGTGGAGGCCTGGGTAGCCAGCATCCGGGAGGAGAAGACGAGGGTGAGAGCGGGAGGCTATGGAGGACTATTGGGGGGCACTTGACGGACAAGATTGGATATGCATTTTGGTTTTCTCGATCTCCTTCTTCTTGTTGTTTCTTTTCTTGGTAACCCCTCAGGCAGTACTCCTAAAAGTCTCCTACACCCCTGCACACCGTGTGGCTGGGAACCCATCGAATGTCCGCACGCCCCTCCCTCGCCTTAAGTTGTTCCTTTCGATTCCCACCCAACTTTCCTCTCTGCCTCAACCTGCCCTACAATGGACGACTTCAATTCGTTATCCATAGATGTCTCTTGGCTTCCGGATATCTCAAAGCCGGAGATGACCTTTTACGAAACTTCTTTCTTCCGTCCCACAATCAGCACCTCCTCCCTTCCTCAATTGCCCCCCCCAGCTTTAGTTCGTAAAGAGAGCCAAGCTCAAGGTCTCAAGGCTGTAAAGTTTGAGCATTTGAACCTCGTTGTGAAGTTTGGTGATCCTTCCTGGGTTAGGCTGGAAGAAGCACAAGCAATGCGAGCGATCAGCCGACTGTTTCGAACGAAGGAGGTGCCCGTGCCTGAGCTATTTGGATGGAGGGTCGATGAGGGTCAGAATTTCATCTATATGAGCCTGATCAAGGGGCCAACACTTGGTGAAAGCTGGCCATTGCTTACACGAGAGGAAAAGAAGTTGATCTGTGGTCAGTTGAGTCAGGTAGTGGCCGCCCTCAGACGAATTGAGCAGCAGTCGTCGTACCCATTCATTGGTACGAGTTTCCTATGCTGCCTTCCTACACATGCTGACCTCATTGCAGGCTCCATCAATCGCGGACCAGTCCAGGACATCTACTTCCGCGGCGGCCACGAGGCGGGGCCGTTCCACAGCGCCTCAGCGTTCAACGACAGTGTACAACTAGCTGCACTGCCAGATTTGCCGATTTCAGAGAGGCCGGCTGATCCTTACCGAGCCCTCCTCCCCGATACATGCAACACTTACTTCAGTCACGGCGACCTTCATCTTGGAAACATCATCATATCCAATACCCCAGGTTGTCGAAGAGTCATTGGAATTCTTGACTGGGAACAAGCGGGTTGGTATCCCGAATACTGGGAGTACTGCAAACTTACCATAGCCGGACCCTACAACCATGAATGGCGCGAGTCTGGGTGGGCTGACTCGATCATGGCGCCGTGTAAGGAAGCATGGACAGCATTCTCAGAGTACTGGATGTGGCGGCGCCCATGATGCTGACCCGGCTGGGAAAACACGATGGGCAGACTTGTTGGGATCCAGCTTTCTCCTTCAGAATTTCGTAGCTAACAAGCCGTATGTCCCATCTCTTTGAACCCGAAATTCATCTCCGTACAGATGAGCGTCCCATAAGCCGTACACCGCCTCATAATCAGGTTTAGCGCCGCTACCTTTTACCACATTGCTCGGTACCTAGAACCCTGCCATATTCCAATGTAGTCCACCTGAGATCCGGACTATAGATCCTAGTAGGCCTGATGTTATTATGTTTCCTGTAGTATTATAGCTTATTGTGAATGTACTGTGAGTTAGGTTTACGATCTGGTTAGCTGCAAAGCTCATTCCTGCTACGTTACTTGGGTCCTTCTGGTATTTACCTTTTGTATCTGAGGTCATTTTCGGGTTCAAAACGATAGACAATATTGTCTCTTCTAGCTTCTTCACAGGAGAGTGGACAGGATCCCGAGTTTCCCAGAAGGTATGGTCGGATGTGCTTGAAGACGGTGTTATGCAGATTCTTGAGGGCTGCAAATGATGGCTGCAAAACAAGATTGCCCTCACTGAACTAGACTATCCCGCCGCAGGGCCAGGCCTTGCTATCTGCTGAGAGGGGAGTTTCATCATTGTGATACAACCCCAAGCCACCCGGGAAAAGGCTCGGATTCAGTAAAGCAGGTGGCCCCATCCCTAATAGCATGCCTATAGTAGCTGTGTCCACGATTTTGGTATTCGGGGCCGGCTTTTGCATTAGTTTTGACAGGTGGCAGATGAACAGTTGTCAGCTCTGGAGTTCTGAGCTCAAGGCGAGAGGGGAAAGTGAGCTCTTCGCAACTGTATGAGTAGACGAACAGCCAGCCGCCCAGCTTCTTGATGCACAAGACCAAGGCATGAATAGCGTGTCAAAATGTACTTGTGGAAGGCACGTACCAGCAAAGAGGGAACCCTTAAGTTAGAAAGCCCTGTGCGTTACTCTTGCAGTTTTTAGAGCCTGATCAGGCTGCCTAGTGTAGTGAAACGGATTGCCATCTTAGAAGGAGCAAATAGTAACATTCTTGCTGTTTGAACCAGCTACCAGCGCTCGTAGAAAATTATAAAGCACCTAGCACACATCCGTCACTGCAAAGGCCGTATAAGAGTACATACATGCCTTAGCATCTTGACGTAGGCCCCAGTGCTACAGTGCAAAACCGCAATGAATCTTGAAATTCTTCTGCTCACTGATTTTCTTTATGCTTAGCCGAACGCTGAGGGCTAGTTGGGAAGAAGTGATTGATCACGAACTTTGTGGTCCGAAACCTAGTTTAACTTTGGAAGAAGTCCAAATTTGTGTACGAGAACATGTCCTCCATGAACGGGAACTCCGGCATGAGCTGCTGCTGCGTCTCTAAAAACGTGCTCGGCAGCACATCGTCAGCCGGATCAGGTGTCAACAGCTTGTCCACAACCTCCGTGTGCTGCGCAAGACTGATGTCAGCAAGATCCCACCCATGACGATCTTGATGCTGACGAAGCGCATCCAGAAGTTCTTTCGCTAGATGCAACGACGGACTCTGAGAAAGGCTCACGGGGTCGTCTTCCGTTTCGAGAGCACAGCGAATCAGAAAGGTGACAGTATGTGAGAAAGTGAAAGCTGCGACGGGCAACCAAAAGTCGCCGAGCTGGGTGTCCTCGAGCTCCTGCACAAGAGAAACGATTTCTTCAGCAGTGTGGCGGACTTCTGAATAACGACGATCGATCTTCAGTGCTTGAGCGTCAGCTGCTTGCTTGTCGTGATTCAGTTCAATGCGTCGGAGAAGCAACTTGGTTGATAGATATGCCAGCCTCAGATTCGAGGCTCCAGGGCTGTCCAAGTGAGTGCCTCGGAGAATAACCTTCCTCGTGTCTCCTTTGAGAGTGTCTACCCAATGACCCAGCCGCGCTTCAAGGTCATCCACAGGAATATCGGAGGGCGAGAGTTTGATCCGGTAAACATTGTCAAGGAAGACCTCCAGCAGCTGAGTCAGGCCTACGAGGGCAACAAACACAGCTGAAGCCTGAGCTTTTGTTGAAGTTTGGCCATTCGCGCTTAGATATTCAACGATAGGCAAAGGAACATCACTCTGATCGCTACGTAGGCGCGGAGGGGTACCGTAGGCTAAGCTTGACCATCTGTCATGAATCAAGAGGCACCACCAAATCTTCATCCGAAGAAACTTTTCGGACTGCGGAATGTGCCATGGCAGTGGATTCCGGTTGAGACCCAGAGAATGGGCTAGTGAGATAGCTGCTCCAAGTTGAACACCGTTGCCGAGCATTGAAGTAGTGGGCCGTCCTCCGACGTTGAGCAAGCTCGCGGCAATGCTAGATATGCCTGGTGAGTGACGCAGTTCGGAGTACAGAACTTGGCAAGCCAGATTCCAGGCGAAGCGCTGGTCAGGACATCGCTCAGACGAAAGTATTGGATCGAACTTCCAATACGTCAGGCTGTTGGCGTAGAGGCAGGCTAGCACGGCGGGAGAGATGCGGTCTCTAGCGCTTCGGTATTGGTCACGGAAAGAGTCCTCGTCTAGTAGAGGAAAACAGACGTTGGCTTTTGACAGATACCTAGAAACACGTTAGCTAGTTTGGCTCCCCGGAAGAGGTAGATGAGCACTGACAAGTCGACTAGCCTGTCAGTCCACGGTTCAAGCAGCTTTTCAAGCATCTGGAGTTGCAATGAAGGCGGTGTTGGGTCAACTGTCATTCCCAATGGACGAGGCTGAACGCGGGTGAAGATAACCGGCTCAGCATCACCGCCGAGCATGGGGCGAACCATGGGCGTTGAACGCGAGCCATGACGAACCGTACTCAAGTAATCAGCTAATACGTGACTGTCGCTGGTGACAGCCGGGCCAACGATGTGAGGACTGTCATCAAGCTCATCTTGATGGAGAGGTATCGGGATGTCCGCATGAGTCGGTCCTGAGACAACGGTATGACGCGTTTCGGGTGAACAGTAGTCTGCCGCAATGCCCGTACTGAGTTGCTGCTCTGGGGGAGTATCGTTGAGTCTCGTAGTATTTTGATTTGCTGATAGCAAAGATCGTCTTGATCCCTGTTTGACCTTTGTTGTGGATTTCGCATGCCCTTTCGAAGCCGCGGGGAAGTCGCATTCAGTTGCGTGGGCCTGACACATCAGACATACCGCGGAACGGCTGTTGACAGTACATCGAGACTTGCGTCTGCGACATTGTGTGCATGCCGGCTGAGAGTGAGATCGATATGAACGAGTAGGACTCATGTCACTTTCCGGAATGACAGTCTCTGTGTATAGAAGATTTCACGTGGCCGATATCGAATTGATTTGTGGTGACAGAAGGCGAAAATGATGGATGTCGTTGGAGTATCCCGCGGAGGCTTTCGTGCAACAGTTGGCCGCGGGGAAGTTTGGCGGGGTCAGAAGAGCTGTGTCAGCACACATGGGCGGGGGTGCACTGCACTGCAATTGACTTCATTCCTTTCAGCCGAATCCTCACTGAACGTCACATTCTTCACAGCAGCACAGCTATCATATACGCTGGAATGCCTCCAAACTCTCACATACGACCATACCTACTGGAGAACTCGGGATCCCGTCCGCTCTCCCATAGATAAGCCAGTAAGGGTCGGACCAGTAGTTGGGTGGGTGACCACCAGCGAATCCCTGATGTTGTATGTTTTTGTTTTTGCATTTTTGACATTTTTGAATTTTCTCGTGGTGCTGGTGGGGATCCAATATGTAGAAGTCTGGCTGCACCCGGGAATTAGTGCTAATTGATGGATGTGGCTTAGTCAGTTATGCAGAGCGTTGTAGTACCATTGCTCAGGGACCTTGCACTGGTACATATTTTTGGTGAGTGCTCAGGCCCGTCTGAATCTGAAGCCGTATTCGACAGAACACCGTTATTGGAGCAAACGGGAGAGTGAGTAGCCGGCCGACTGTCGAGTATCTGGAAATCAGTGCCCAGACATTGTTCGGTAGCGCCAATGGAGCACTACGTGTACTTCCCTAGGTATTGTACCTACCTTGATGAACGCTTCGTGAGCATCATGTTCTCGGTCCATGTCGTGGTTAGGCGCAAGCTTTTGGCTTAGTCATTGAACGCGTCGCGACTGCCTCGCCCAGGATCCAGAGTCTTGCATCACCACCACTTGAGGTTGACTGCGACGCCGTTAATGGTACTAGAGAGGTCTTCCGTTCTTCATTACCCAGCAAACGATGAGCCGGGGAAACGGATAGCTGAATTGGTACCGGAGATCCCGATGTAACCTGACCGCTGCGGTCTCATCACAGCCATGCCCCTGCTTGCGTTCACGCTCAGCGAGGACGCCGTTTCGGCCCTCCGCGACGCTCTCATCTGCCTCAACAAATTCAGCGATGACGTGTCTTTCGAAGCGCAGAAGGACAAATTCGTCCTCACGGCTCTGAACTCTTCAAAGTCTGCATACGCCTGCTTCACCTTTTCCACCGCCCGTTTCTGCTCCCGGTACGCCTTCGACGGTCGCGATAAGTTCTACTGCACGCTCTACACGCGAGCTCTCATCTCGATATTCCGCAGCCGCGCGTCCGGTGATCCGCAGCGCGGCATCGCCAGCGGCGCCGACCGGCCCGACGGTCGGGACGGTGCCATTGACCGCTGCGAGGTGTCGGTCGAGGATGGGCCTGGCGTGCAGGTGAGCCGGTTCGTTGCCAAGCTCATCTTCCGCAACGGGCTGGCGTCAACACATCGGCTACCTTTTGAGGTGGCTGTGCCCGTGCATGCCAAGTTCAGCCGGGAGGAAGCGGGCAACCACTGGACCATCCCGTCGAGGACGTTGCGGCAGCTGATGGAGCACTTTGGGCCTGGTGTGGAGTTGCTGGATATCTGCTCGGATGGGGAGCACGTCAAATTTACGTGCTTTACCGAGAAGACTGTGAATGGAGACGGCATGTCAGCTCTTGCTCGCTGCAGTGGTCGATGCTAATGACTCGCAGAGGTCCTGAAAAAACCGCTTCACACGTCCATTGCCATTGAGATCGACGAGTTCGAGGACATTGAAGTCGAGGACAAGCTCCGAATCGTCATGAACGTACGCGACTTCCGCGCCATCATTCAGCACGCCGGCATCGCTGGCACCAACCTATCCGCCCGCTACTCGACCCCCGCCCGACCCATCCAGGTGACGTACCCGGGCGACGGCATCGCCTGCGAGTTTCTTCTCATGACGGTGGGCGAGCGCGGCGGCAACCCGGCGCAGAAGACGCGCAAGGGCAGCAAGGCGGTCAACGGATCCAGGCAACGGCAGCAGCTGGAGCCCACGTCGAGGAGGGCAAGCGCTGCGCCGTCGCAGGCGTCTGAGAGGCAGCCCGACGTAGACGACCAGGCGCCGCCCAAGGTCAGCAGCGGGATGCCACCTCCGCCCCAACCCTCAATGCCATCCGGCAGGGCTACTGCGGCGAGAACGTCGGCATTTGACCTGAGGCCTTCGCAGCGACCTCCTCCGACGTCTACTATGCGCTCTGAAGGGCTCTTTGTCGAGGACGATCGGTGGGAGCCTGTCAATGACGACGAGGAAGAAGAGGAGAATGCGAGGTTGGAGTGGGATCATAGTGCCCAGCCTGTAAGTTGCCGCAGCACTCCGTCACTTCCCATTGCTGACATGATCACAGGAGGACACTGGTCCGCACATCAACCAACCTGCCGCCGAGAATAGCAACGATGTGAACCCGACTCCAGCCAGTAGCTACGGCTTTGAGCCAACGCAGAGGTTGTCCGACGTGGAGAGGCTGGGGTTGTTTTACAGAGGGAGCTGAACGAGAAGCACATGACGTTATGCCATTATTGTTCAATTTTGATCGTGCCCCAATTGGGCTCATCCTGTGGTAATGTCAACCCAGCTTGTAGCGCACCCAGCGCCGATGCCTGTGATTTGAGACCCTGGGGGGATGAATCGTGACGATGCAATAACATTCCACCGTCCCTTGACGTCGTTGTTCTCAACTTGTGGTCCGCAATTGCCGTGCTCACCCCATCCCCAGGCTAGGACGTCACCCTCCTCAGACATGGCGACAACGTGTTCGCTTCCAATGGCTACTCTGGCCAGTTTGGGAAGGTTGGGCGGAGCCAGCTGGCCGTGATCATCCCGACCCCAGCACAACAGTGTTCCGTCTCGCTTCAACACGTAGATGTCACCCCAGCTCGCTCCAACATCCTTCCATCCGGGGACGGATGACGGGGCCGATGATCGAACGTTCCACTTGTCGGAGCCTAGTACCGCAAGCCGTCCTATCTCGTTGTCTCCAAAGAGGCAAGTGAACTCTCGCCCACAGACGGCCCGGGTGACCTTGAAATCGAGACCTTCAATCTTTCTTGGCTGGTGAAGCACGCCTTCGGGGTTTCCCGTTTGACCTTTCCGTCCGTTACCCCAGCCATAAGCATCGCCATTGCTCAGAACAGCTACGACGTGACCCATGCAAGCCGCGAGATCTACAATCTCGGTTCCCGCGGGCGGAAACTCCTTGAATAATGTCCCTGATGGTGATCGAACCAGCAGTTCTCCTTGCCCTAGCTCTCCCTTTGCGCCGGACCCAAAACTCCAGAACTGCGTCACCTTACCGTCTGCATCTCTCCTGGCGATGAATGAGGCTTCCCAGGTTGCTGTCACGAGAGCCACGTCCCTCACGCCCGTCACAGGGTCATCTTTGCTGAGACGCACTGGCTGAAAGACAGGTTCTGTAGCTGTAGCCTCGGCTGTGAGACCGCAAGCGCCTGGCGTGGGATCCCCGCTCCAATAAAGATGACCGTCTCCTGTGAGGAGCAGAGTGTGATTTCCGCCAGCAGCGATGCGGGTGATGGGAGACGAAGGCTGATCGGGATGGAATAAGACCTGCTTGGGTACCGAGACATCTTCCTTGTGGGCAAGGCCGAGCTGACCAGAGCCGTTGGAGCCGATGGCGAAGAGGACTGTCATTATTCCTTGGATACTGGAGGTCGTTTTTCTTTTGGTAAGCAGAACGGGCCTTCCCTCATGCCACTGCCAGTGACAAGTAGCGGGGGAGGTTTCGTCATGCTGGTAAACGGGGTTCGACATCTGGTAGGTGGATACCAGCAAAACGTCAGGAGCAGCATATGCATCAAACAAGCTCACGGCTGAAGGTTCTGCCAATCCCGGCCCACCCTGGCTGCCCCCGCTGCCCCACACAACCGTCAACCACAAAAGTCGCGACGAACGACAGCTCTTGGGAGAATTTTCCTCTTTCGCAAACCAGCTCCAGCGCCTTCTGCAATAACCACTCGAGCCTCTTCGTTGTGACTCACCACGACGCGCCGGCAGGTGGAGAAGGACCAGCTTCTGTCGTCTACTTTCTCTTCAGGATGTGAGATCTTGCCTGTATGCAGACTCCTCCCGGTCCTGATCAGAAATTCATTCGTCCCCCCCAAACAAGAATTCGCCCTCCAACATGGCGTCCACCGCTTCCGCTGCTGCATCCAGCGCCCAGTCTCGTCCCGCCGGGATGGAGAACTTCGTCGTCGGCCTGATTGGCATGGGCGACATGGGGAAGATGTACGCGCAGAGACTTTCTGCTGCTGGCTGGAAGTGAGTTTTTCTCCAGCCTTGCAAGAGGTCTTCTGCGCCGCACGCGAATTGGTACGTATTTTCGTCTTTTTCTTCTGCTTCCTACTCACGAACACCACCATCCCATGCCCCTTCCCCCCCTCTGTTGATGATGACAAGAGCGCATTTGGCTAGAGTATCGCCCAAGGGGCGCCTGGATCAGCCATTCTGGCCCCAGGCACACCTAGGCTTTCCATGATGATACACCTAGCTACCTTAACAAACATTTGTCTGAAACATCACACCTTCCAAGACTTTTCTCTGCAAACCGCTCAGAAAAACACGAGTCGCTAATTGGAACGCAGATTCATAAACTTTGCTTCGCTTCGCTGAAGGCGCGCGCACCGCTTCTGCTACCCATCATCGGATCATGACTGACAGCGGGGGATAGCATACTGGCTTGTGATAGAGACGACAAGTACGAGGCGTTGAGGGACGAGTTTGCTGGAAAAGTACGGTGCTCCGTTTGCTTTCCCTCGGTCCCAGCCCCAGCCATTCAGTTGCTGAGATGCTTCATAGAAGAATATACAAATCTGCCGCAATGGTCACTTCGTCTCCCGCGCCAGTGATTACATCATATACAGTGTGGAAGCCGCAACCATTGATCGTGTAATCGCTCAGTATGCGCCTTGTACGCTACCCTTCCGCTGTCTGATGTCCTGATAATCTCTCCTGCGAGTTCTAACATTACGTGCAGCCACGAAGCTGGGTGCTATTGTTGGCGGCCAGACCTCCTGCAAGGACCCAGAGATCCAAGCCTTCGAGCGGCACCTCCCAGCCGATGTGGATATTGTGTCGTGCCACTCCTTGCACGGCCCCGGTGTCGACCCCCTCAACCAGCCGCTCGTCATCATCCCCCATCGCGCCTCCGCCGAATCGGTCGCCAAGGTCGAGACGGTCCTCTCCGTTCTCCGCTCCAAGCATGTCCACCTCTCGGCCAAGGAACATGACCGCATCACGGCCGACACACAAGCCGTAACCCACGCTGCCTTCCTCTCCATGGGCAAGGCCTGGCACGCAAACACGCAGTTCCCGTGGGCCCTCTCGCGCTACGTGGGAGGCGTCGAGAACGTCAAAATAAACATTATGCTGCGCATCTACTCGCAAAAGTGGCACGTCTACGCCGGCCTCGCCATCCTCAACCCCGAGGCGCGCAAGCAAATTTCCCAGTACGCCCGCTCTGTGACGGACCTCTACAAGCTCATGCTCGAGGGCGACGCCGCGGCCCTGCGCGCCCGCGTCTTCGCGGCCAAGGAGCGAGTCTTTGGAAGCGACGGCGCACCGCTCTGGGGCGGCCAGCCGCTGCTCGACCCGGGCGTGCTCGAGGGCTTCTCCCTCGGTCGCCCCGACGAGGCAGGCGTCGACGATGCGCCCCGCGCCAACAACCACCTCAGCTTGCTGGCCATGGTCGACTGCTGGGCCCAGCTGGGCATCGTGCCGTACAACCACATGGTGTGCTCGACGCCGCTGTTCCGGCTGTGGCTCGGCGTCACGGAGCACGTGTTCCGCAGCCCCGGCGTGCTCGAGGACGCACTGCGCGTCGCCATTGACGACCTCCGGTACCGATCGGACGATCTTGAGTTTACGTTCGCCGCGCGGGGCTGGGCGGAGAGCGTGTCGCTGGGTAACTTTGAGACGTGGAAGAACCGGTTCGAGACGACGCAGTCGTTCTTCGAGCCGCGCTTCAAGGAGGCGGGTGTGGTCGGCAATGCTATGATGAAGGCTGTGTTTGAGAGTTCGAAGTAGATTCTCTGGGGAAATCTATAACGGGTATTTGTGAGGGGTCTTTCGGTTCCGCCATCATCGGTTCTGGTGAAAAGACGCTATTAGCATTCATCGCGTCGTATGCTATGTCCACACCAACTGCAGCATATTCTTTTTACTCATCAGTTCCTTAATCTTGGACTTGATTTGCAATTCACATGCCTGATCCTCGACGCCACCTGGTTGTATTGATTCAGGAAGCCACGTCAACACCTTGGATGTTGTGCTTTGTTCAGTCGACAATCGCGGTAGTTCTGGCACGAATTCTCTCGCGCTCTTGATAGCTAGGCGTATGTTCTGCTAGCGAATATTGCCTCGGGAGTAACTTTTGGAGGTACTGGACTGGAAACCTCTGCGTGTTGGATAATGCAAGGGCTTGTTGTATTGGTAGGGGCGATATTCCTGCGTTGTTGTCAGAGCGTGAACCTCGTCAAATCCGACTTGATGTCCATGTGATAATCAATTTCGAGTCGTTCGATTACAATAACGGCTGCTTGAGTGAGGAAGATGGCGATCCCAGCCGGTGTTAATCCTTCCCAAGAAAGGAAATGGTGTCATCGCTTGCTCGGTGCATGTTTGATGGTCTGGAGGCAAACGATGTTTTAGCTCCTGTGCTCAGTCGAGCCGTTGCACATTCACTCAACATACAGCATTTTCGTTCCAGTGCCTTCCTCATCAGTCATTGTGCCCAACCTTTCTTCCTGCCTTCGCGTCTTCGAGCCCCAGGTTGCGCCTTCCACCTCCAGACCAGTCCAAAACTTTATCAAGAACAACGACCCGGATGCTCTTCCCCGATATAACTGCCCTGACTCTCACTCGTATTTGCATTTGCCGCCTTGGAGCTCTCAGTACCGACATGCAGTCTCAACAGCCTCACTCCAAGACTGGGGGCACTACGCCCTGTTTTGGCAACGACGATACCAACAAACATTTTTTTACCTTCAGACTACCTGCGTTCAAAAAACAACCTGCTGTGTATCCATTTGGGCAGCATGATTTTGGGCAGAACGAGCAAGGGCGCGACACTGACATGGCCACCAACATCAGCAACAGCAGAGATGGCAGTAGCAGACCGAATACCGATACCGATGACAAAACGTGCGTCTCTCTCGTAGCGAAACATACTCTTGCGAGCCGTGATGAGATTGCTGACGGCCAGCATACCAGTGGAGGCAGTGATGCAGCTAACCCCAATCTCAGCAACCCGCGAGCACTGCATGACAGCCAGTCTCATCTGTCGCCTACCAACGTGGCGATGTCTGCGCATGCCTGTTCTCTCGAGTCATCAGAGGTCGATGGCCATGTCGAGGAAACGCCTCTTCCTAAGTCTTTGCCACCTGCCTTCCCGCCGCGTCGGCAGTTCAAAGCATCATGCACGCATCCGACCATGACGCGTGTCTATGGTGTCAACCACCGTTGCGATACATGTGGGAC